ATTCTATTCCTACTTTGCTTCCATCGAATTGTGGAAAACTGGATTACGTTGGTATTGTTTGACAGTCGAACAATACCAATATCACTAGTCGAACCTCGACTGACGCGATTTCACCATAATTTGTGTCCTCCTACGACTCGTTAACGATGGAACAGCTCATTCACTGTGCCAGAATTGACTGTATTGTTGTCATAGCAATCTCTGTTCTACTGAGCGCGAGGTCATCGATTTCAGAGGTCATACCGTGGAAGATTCCATCAAGGCCGTGAAGCTTCTGAAGGAGTCCTGTTTCAAGGTGGACATCCATCTCATGCCCGACTTGCCTACTTCCGACCCCGAGAAGGACAGGGAGATGTTCCAGTTCGTGCTGGAGACCCCCCATCTACAGGCCGACCATTGGAAGATCTACCCTTGTGAGGTCACGCCTTTCAGCACCATCGAGAGGTGGTATAGTGAAGGCAGCTATATACCCTACACTGAGGTGAGTGGCTCACGATACTCCTGTTCACTGAGGGCTTGTGTGCTGCAGAAAAACCCGAAGTTGCTCGTGGACTTATTGGTGTGGACTAAGGCTCGAGTGCATCCCTGGATACGGTAGGATCTGCTGTTCCTCTTGGTGTTCCTCGTAATGCTGCCTATTGACATTGCGTTCCTCTTACTTGCTGTGTGTGGCTATCCAAGGCTGCATGGTCAGGCTTAATCGAGTGATCCGGGATATTCCGGAGGTCTCCATCATCGCTGGCAACCAGAACACCAACCTTCGACAGATGATTTTCAAGGACCTCGCCAAGCAGGGAAAGTACTGCAGGTAGTAGTCCTAGGATCTAGAGAGGAGAAAGTCGCAACAGGGTCGCACATTGTTGTCTTGGCTCACTGGGCGATCCTCCAGGAGCTCGCGGCAATGAGAATCGCATTATGAGAGGAAAGTTTAACTACTCGTTTCAGATGCATACGATGCCGGGAAGTGAGGGATTGGCCTGAAGACGATTCCCTCCTACGACTCGTTAAGCGATGGTAATGGGTTCCCATGTCGCTGGGCTAGAACTGGAGTCAGACTTCGTCGTTATGTTTGCT